TGCACGAATATGTTATAGACAAGACTAGCAATATATAGTACTGTTTGGAGTGTTTGCAAGCATTAACAGGGCCCTTTTTAACTATATAACTTGGGAGCAAAAATCCCCCAGCCCCAATGACTCCACACCACCATTCAACCATTTTTGTCCCCAGTCAAAGTCTCTATTCTCTAAAATATCAGCAAAACATTGGACGAAAAATGGAATTTGGAAAGAATATTTGATATTCTAGTAACTGAAATTTGCTTTGTGAATCTTATGTCCTGTCTTTTATCTTCAAAAAATTCAATGTCTATAAAAATGCTAAACATTGTGTCCTGAATACATTAGATTTTAAGCCAGTGCCTCATTGGATAGCATATCCCAGACCCAATAGATTTGAGTTGTTGGAAGGCTAGACTAATTGGCGAAACAAGTTAGTGACCGAGTTGTAACTGAAGATTCCCCTCGGAAGATTCTATAAGAATATATCTAAAGTACTGTATATAATGTAACGCTGTGCATCCAAAAATCTGTTCTGAAAATGCACCAAATGCAGTCCTAGGGGTGGAAAAATTCAAAAATTTTCTGGGGGAGAATCCCCCCAGACCCTCCTACTATTACATACAATAGTGTGGTCCCTTTTTGTAGATTGCTTTCTCCCCACGGACAAATTCTTAAAAAAGGCTCTGGCAAGCAACGAATGTTGGTCAGCGTTTCGTATGGTGGTGTACGTGAATGTGATGATTTAAATGTCCGTAATTTCGTAAGCAAATAAACTAACATAGAACATGAACTAATGTAATAAACAATTTTACTTTGTCACGTTTGGTGAAAACTGAAAAGCTATGAATTAAAACCGCACGCGCTAATTCAGATACCAAACGCGCAGATTCGAAAACTGGGCGCGCAAAAATCCGGAAAATGTTGATCTCGGTCGCGCAATTTGCAAACTTTCCAGTCTGGTGTGTGGGCCTTTAAGGTCCAGACACACCAGAGTTGTAGACTTGAGTCGTGTGACTTGGACTCTAGTCGGACTCGAGTCGCAATTTTTGTGACTTGACCGGTTAAAGAGACTGATGACTTGTGACTTGAACTCAGACCAAATGACTTGTGACTTGACTTGGACTTGCAGGAAAAGACTTGTTACCAACGCAAGTCAAACGTAAATATCTAGTGAAAATCAAGTTTTCCAAAATCTTTGTGTTGATCGATCGATCGTCTTGTTGTACAATTTGGGCAACGACCTTAGTACATACCAGTGGCATCGACAGAATTTGTGCCGGCGTATTTTCTGACAAAGCGGGTTTTTTCGTGATTTCGTGGTAAAATTTCTGACATAAAATAACGACGCCATATTTACATATTTTTCCGTTTTGCGTGGGAAAACATGGCCACATGTGGCGATAAAATGACTTGTGACTTGACTTGAATTGACTTGCCACCCGGAATGACTTGTGACTTGGTCTTGGATTTAGACAAAATGACTTGTGACTTGACTTGAACTCAGACCAAATGACTTGTGACTTGACTTGGACTCGCAACATAGGACTCGTTAACAACTCTGAGACACACCGGACGCGATTCGACAACGCGACGCGATTTTTTAGTTTTTGAAAGTTAATAAAACAGCCAATGAGAGCAAATTTTAAAAGATATGTAGACCAAATAACTCAAAATGTTATAACGCTTCTAAATATTTGGAAAATTTAAACTAGGATCAAAGTTATCGGTCAGTGAAAATCGAAAAATCGCGTCCAGTGTTTATATATATGGACCTTTACACTTGCCATTTTTGCTGCGATTTCCAGTTCGATTTTCGTCTCCTGGTGGATGTGAACGAGTAAATGTATTATGAATGTTCAAATAAGGCAACATGTACTCAGAACATTCATAACTCATCTGCTTGTTAACATTCATGAGAAGAAGAAAATCGAGCCAGAAATCGTAGCAAAAATTGCAAGTGTAAACAGGCCTTTAATTAAAGTCGTGACTCTGAGTATGTATTTGATGCACATGAGCATGACGTTTCCCACGCGAAAGATCACATGCAAGTGAGTAAGTGACACTGACTAACCTTCATAACTATTATTATTACGCCCGTAAAAAGTATTAAGAAGTTATTTACATTCTGTTTCTCTATTTTTTGGATAGGCTAGACTAGGTGCCTTCTAGAAACCTAATATAACTGTACTCTGTATAATTGTCGTAGTCGTAGATATACAAAAACCAAAAGGTTTATATCGTGTCAGTTAAATAATTGCATAAAATTTATTGATTTGATTAATCAATGCCTTCGCCACCAGCGACTCAGCAAACCACGGCAACGAAGCCCTATGCTAGCTGTATTATGCATCTTGTGAATACGATATACGACGTATTATGTTTCGCTTGGCTGATTGTCCAATAAAATCATTCTATGCTATTCTATACGGGAAATTCCCTTCCATCAGTGACGTAATTTTATATGTAAATGTTGCGAAGAACGAACAAAACCCTTCGAACAACATATTTATTTAATGCAATGCATGGATAATATACAAGGTTTACTGATTTCAGAGCGGATTTTATCCTTTAACTTTACCAAATAAGTCACTCGTTTTATTCTTTTACCAGTCGGGACTTGTTTTTATACATATTATCACAATGAAAGACAAATCTGACTATTAAAGGACATTAGTAGCTATAAGCACGATTAACCGTGCTATAAGGGCAATTGCTAGATAGTATACTTCAAAATAAGATTTCCGTTTTATTCTATTTTTAAAATAGTTAGGGTTAGGTTAGGGTTTAGGTTAGAGTTAGGTTGGGGTTAGGGTTAGGTTTAGTATTAGGGTTAGGGTTTAGTTTTGCGTTAGGATAGTTTTTTCTTCGTTATAAAAACGGAAACCTTATTTTGAAGTATACTATCTAGCAATCACCGTGCTATAAGTAGCCTCCTCCACAGACATCGCTATAAGGAATCGAGATGCCTGAGTATGGGGGAGGCCAGTAGCTATAAGTATCAAAAGAGGAATATTGTTATCCTTATAGACATATAGACAAAGGCAAACTAAGGACATTAAAAAGATTAAAAATAAATTTCGAATTTGAAAAATATATTGCTGAAATTGGCCATATTAAGCATCGCCAAGCTATTACAACGCTCAGAATTTCGGTTCATAGATTACCTGTTGAAACAGGCCAGTCGATATCGCAATGTTCCATATGATGAAAGAATATGTCAGCATTGCAATTTAAACGAGGTAGGAAACGAACAACATTATTTAATGCAGTGCAATAATGCAAAATTTATTAATATCAGGGAAGTTTTTATATATAAACTTAACCAGATAAACCACTTATTTAGTTATTTTAATAATCACGATTTATTTATATATATTCTTGCAATGAAAGACAAATCCATCAATAATTTGGTTGAACAACTATAAAATAATTCAGTATTCTATATATCCTATTCAGTTATAGTATACTAGTTAACGATTTTGTGATTTAATATTTTTTATACAATGTTATGTATTCATTATGTACCAGTATTGGTATTTTGTTATGAATAAAGTTATTATTATTATTATTATTATTATAGACATAGTTATAGCTAAATATGTTACTTACCAATATTGGATTACAGCAGTCTTTAACAATTGTAGACTGATGCGGGATATTCTATAAGTATTTCTCTCGATATTTCTCAGTTTGCTGTTTAATTTATTATATTTGTTAAATATTTCTCAATTTGCTTTACATATCCAAGAGACATGTCGTTTATAAAAAAAATCCAGCGATGAACGAGAAAGATTTTTGTATCGAAATTAGAACATTATTCAATTGATATTTAAAACGTGTATCTATTTCATAGAATGGTGGGTCGTGTCAGATCTATATAACAAACGAAATATATTCGAAAATAGTTTTAAATGTTCATGCTCTTACAACTCAACTGTCTTCATTATAAGATTGTGTCAGGTCACTTCGACTGCATGGACAGCAACAACAAGTCACCAACAACATATATTTGTATTCTATTTAAAAACACGTATGGAGTATAAATTGAATAAAGACAAAGTACAACAAATTATATACATATATAAAAAATAATTTTAACACAATAAGTATAATACTAGACCGTATAAATAGAATCCACTTTAAATTAACAGGCCATGTAAATCCACCTAGGACTAGGTTCAATGCTTTTTAACACTTTGTCAGGTGAACGAGCAGCTTAACTGAACCTGACGTCTAAACATTTCTTTTTCGCATTTACTCGACTATAATCTATATCCATAATCCAACATCAACAATTTTTTGCTGACATGAGTGATAAGCACAGATTTCCAATCAGAAACTCGATATCTTGTTATTGATAATCTTAGTGTATAAATGACTCTCAAGTCACAAAAACGAGGCTCTATATATAAGGCAAAGCTGAGTACATCCTCGTAGTCAGGGTCCAGTGCTCTCGCAATCAAATTTTCGAATTCCTTAGAAAAAGCTTGAAAATTCCTCAGATTTCCTTAAAATTCCTTAAATTGATAAAATTACTACAAGGCCTGGTCACATAAATTCCTTAAAAGAATCCTTAAAATTCTTCAAGATTCCTATTTTTAAGGATAATTCCTTAAAAGTGAGAGCACTTCCAGGGTCAGCAGGTGGCCGTGGCATCAGAGCATAAGAGGAATTAGCCTGGGTACGAGGTTTGGCTGAGTACTTTCCGAGAATATGAAAATATCTCTACATGTCAAATCAGCAGTTTCTTTACAACAACGGAAATCGTATTTGCTGCGTCATGAACTTTTTACGCGAAATCATCATTTTAGTGACAGTACTTTTGGACCGATTCATTTTCAATTTGTACCTGTAGAAAATAGAAACTATCCGAATATTTAAATGTTTTCTTTATTCATATTGCATTAAAAGCCACTTTGTCAATTTTGTGTATCGTTATAGGCAATTCCAGCTTTTAATTTATGCGCGCAGGGCGTGATGGGAAGTAAGGTATCATGTTGCTGATTATGCTGAAAAGTTTCAATAAAAACTGCCGAAACAACCGAAATATTTCAATATTCACAAGTATAAGCTATCACTCCGTGTTTACACGGCCACCATTTTATTTCAGCATAATCAGCAATACGATAACTTCCCATCCTCCCCTGCACGCATAAACTAAAAGCTGGAATTGCCTATAAAGAAGGATTTGGTCGATGCCTTTGCCACTTGCAAGGTTATTTGTCGATCGCAGAGCATATGGTCTATCCGGGCTGATTATGAGTATTCGTTCGAAATTCCCTTTCTGAAGAACTTGGTCTTGGCATGGTGATATAACCAACATGGGATTTTACCGATATTCTGATAACCGATATTCAAGGGCCAATATTGGCATACATCCGATGACGCGATATTCTATTTTACATCGAAAAATCAAATGCATGAACAACTTAATGTATACATGTATACATTGATAACTTCTTTGAATATGGCTATAAATTATTGAGTTTATATTCATACATTCACGTCACTGTGTTGTGTTACAATCAAATTGCAATCCAAAATATACTTTGTCTTTAACTTTAAAATATATTGTATGTTATAATACAATGCGGATAATATCGGCAACAAAAGTACCGATACCAATATTTTGAATTTAGCGCCGATATCCAATCTTCATATCGGTGTATTAATACTATACGTAATTAAACCAGCTATTTTTGGATACGACTTCCCCCATTGAAAAAAGTAATACAGTAATTTCCTGTTCTAAAATAATGCGTGGGCGTTCGTACACTAACATCGCGTAGCTCTCTCCTCCGCAGAGGCTACTGTTGGCTATGATTACGATTAGTATTGAGATACATTTCACTACACTTTACATGGCGGATCGTGGGTGTAGGCCTGTATCCGCAACGTTCACGCCATGCAACGCGACGCGAATTTTCAATTTTCAATAACATCTAACTTCATGTTTTTCAAATATTCGGAACCACTTAAGCAATTTTAGCTATTTGGTCTGCATATCTTGTAAAATTTTCATCCGTTGACGGTTTTATTTGTTTTTAAAAACTGAAAATTCGCGTCGCGTTGTCGAATATGGACCTTTAATTAACTCCTTTTCACCACTACCCAGCTAAATCGATCAGCACTGATCGATTGCAAGAAATTTAATATCTTCGGTTCAGTGCATGCTATGAAGACAGAAATACCACCATTCGATTCAAAAATATAAGATTCAACTAATTCCTCCCTATAGTTATAGTCATTATCAACATTGT